GAGAGGACTGAGGCTGAGTGAATTAAATGTCGAGGAAAAAGGCTATGAAGAGACATTTTGTGAGAAACTGAAGAGAAATTTTATTGGATTGACATCCCAAGAGCCATGTTTCTAGGGTCTCTATTTCTATAGCTGTGGGGAATCCAACAATTGGAAATGATGGTTAGGGCAGTTCTAGCTGTTACCTTTCTTCTAGCAGATAAGTTGCTGAAATATACTCTTTGTATAGTTTATAACTCTGAGAATAAATTATATAGCCAGTAACATTGATGGTGGGCCAAACCTATGAGACTGGAGAAAGGGAGAAAGAGAAAGAAAGAGAGAGAGAGAGAGAGAGAGAGAGAGAGAGAGAGAGAGAGAGAGAGAGAGAGAGAGAGAGAGAGGATTAAAAACATGTGGGAAATGAATTTTCTCTGTTTTATTTATAAACTGAGGTGAGGGCCTAGAGCTAACTGATTAATTAATGAGAAAAATTGTGTATTTCCAATAATTTATGAGGAAATATCAGAACCTACCCCTTGATTGCCCTAGGACATGGGTTGAGTCTTATTAAAGAAATGAACCAGTAGGAAGGAGACAGGTGTCATGGTTGGAGTGGTTGTCATTTAGTATAGTGCACATCACAGCCTACCCGAGACCATGCGAGGCTTCATGTGAGGTGGTCATTCCCAAACCCTGCCACACATAGAAGAAAGGCCAGTGGGTATGTGTGAAAGGAGTTTCCTTCCTTGATGAAATCATAGATGTAGACCAACTTCCCCATCCTGCCCTCCCCCAAAATCAGCATTGCATAGTATTTGCACCACAAATTACTATAGCTTTACAAGTTTATCTACCTACTTTCACTCTGTTGAGACATTGAATACTAGTACATGGTGTATAGTTACTAGTGTACAATGAATAGTTACTTCATCACTGATCCTATAGTTAGAATGTACCTCATTAGGATGGTGAACGCATACTATAATCAGAAGAACAGAGTGAAGACGGTGTGGAAAATGGTTTGTAGGATCAGGCAGAACCTTTAAGGTTAACAGAAATCAGTTCATTCATATTTGCAGAAAGAACACAGAAAATGTTCAGATATTGAGATGAAGGTTGCAATGCTAGTTCAGGTTTCAAAATGTCAGTTATGCAAGTAAATATAAAAAGAGAGTCTGATTTGTGCATGCAGACCTTTGTGAATCTCCTTTGTGTGACTGACATAAAGCTAGATTTTTAAGGCATGTCTTAAGGCTTCAAGAAATCACAATTCCAAGTTATACATGATGATAATAGTTTACATTTACATTGCACTTTTCAGCTTCCAGACTGCTCATTTGATCCTTGAAGGAGGTAGTAAAAGTATTTTTATTATCATTTTTTTCAATGAGGAAACTGAACCTCAGAGAAGAAAAGTGACTTTCCTAAGGCTACAGCTAGAAAATAGTAGCCCCAGGCCTTCAACCCAGGGCTTCTATCAGGAAGAGTACATTGATCATTCTGCTAATACCATGATGCTAGCCATAGAAACAAATTTTTACAAAAGATTGATTATATTAAATCTCCTCCCTTTAACCATAAGTTTTAATTGTGTAGCCTCCTTCATTTTATAACTTTAGTTTGATACAATCCTCTTAAAAAAAGTTTATCATTTGATGTTTTAATTCCTTTCTGTAAATTTTTTTGAAATGGCCTTTATTTCCCATTTAAAACATAAATTAGTTAGCAGAAAGAGCAAGAAGGTTAGTGTTTCACTATATGGCAAAATTCTACACCATCTAGGTTTGTTTTAGACACCTACTTACTGAACCACCAAAAGCAATGGTTTCCTGTTCCATGACATAGACCTGAGGACCGCACTTTAGTAGGGCCCCCAAGAATTATATATCATTTTGCAGTTCCAAAGCCTGCCTAACTTGATGCTCCCAACAACCCTGTGAGATAAATAATCCAGATGTAATTGTCTCCATTTTACAAAGGAGGAAACAGCCTTAGAGAGGTTAAGCGATTTTCCCACGGTCACACAATTGGTAAAATGCAGTCTTATGATTGGGACTCTGATTTGAGGAGATACTTTATTTAACATCGTGTTTAAGAAAATGTATTACATTTATTAAGTAGGAGCCACTGTAATTGAACCTAAATCATACTAAAAGGTTCATTTTGTAGGTTTTATTATAGCCACAAGCTAGGCAAAAATAACTTTAGCAATGACTAATAAGAAATAAAAAACCTGTTAAGAGTATTTAAAGCATTCTGACCCTTAGGTCTTTAAAAAAGAAAAAAAAATTAAAAACATGTTTCAAGTCTAGCAAAACATTTGTGCCATCCTGATTGCTTGTCTGTGCCCCCTTTCAGCATTTTTATGACACACTTTTACTTAAACCTTTCTTGCTTAAATATAATTTTTCCTTGTGTTCTATCAACTGGTAAATACACATTGTAATTATTCATTCTGGCAATTTGCTAACTTAAAAAAAATGCAATATTAACCTGAGATCCAGTGTGATAACTTGCAATTTTTTCACCTAGGGAAAGTAGCACAAAATGTTCCTGGAACAAAAGGCAAAAATGTGTCCTCAAACACTTCGAGGAGGCCAACTGAAACAATGGGGAGTGGGGGGAGGGGTTGTTCTGGTTGGGTGGGGAAGAGCTCACCTGAGTTGTGACCAGTAGAGAAAGCCAGTCTATTATTTCTACTATGCTAAAAATGCTGCCAGGTCCTTCTAAATACTGGCACCCCGGGGTCTTATCCTTTATCACTCTGCTGTAATTCCAATTCTGTGGAAATCCATTTCTAAGCAGAAAATAAAATGAAAATGTTATGGTTAGCTTTGGAATACTATTTGAATAGGGACAGTTCAAACTTTCATTTAATAATCAACATTTATTCAGCATCTGCCATGTACAAAGCCTGGGTAAGTAAGTCACCAAGAATACATTGTTCGCTCAGTCACTCGACATGCAAACCAAATCGTACACAACATTCTAGCTCTCAACTGTGTGTCTTTGCACACAGACACTCTCTCATGCCTGGAATGCCCTCCCACTTTCCCTTATCTCCCTTAAAGGTTCAGCTGAAATTCTCCCTACTTTAAGAGGTCTTTTCTGATTCTCCACTCTGTTAACATGCAAACTCCCTAAATCATTTTGCATTTATCTTGTGTATATTTTGTATTTGCTTTTCTGTTAACATGTTTTATTCCCTCAGTCAAGTGTAAACACCTTGATAGAAGGCAGGGACTATCTCAAGGGAGTAGTGAATACAGAGTCAACTTTGAAACCAAGAAGACCTGGGTTCAAATTCTGCCTTGGACACATATAACTCTGACAAATTAACTTTTCAGTACTCTGGGCAACTCTGTAAGCCTATAAATTGCAAAGAAGGTGCCAATTTTCACTAGAATTAACCCAGGAGTTTCCTATACTAATGAAATGGCAGGTCTAGTAACTATCCTTATTCCCAGAACTTAGTATAGAGCTCTGGGTCACAGTAGGTGCTTAATAAATGCTTACTGATTGGGAAACTTCACCTTCAAACCTCTTCAGACATGACTGGAGTGACTAAACAGGTTACAAAAGGCTTTAAAATCCAAAACAGATTTTACATTCGATCCTGAAGGCAACAGAGGCCAATGGAGTTTGTTGAATAAGGGAGTGACATGGTCAGAATCACCTTGGATGGATATTCAAGGCTTTTCACAGCCTGGTACCACCTCATCTGTCTAGATTTCTAGCATTATTCCTCTCAAGAATTCTGAGCTCTTGTCAAAACTGGCTAATCCCTAGTCTCTATCTAGGCAACTTGTCTCCAAAGAATAGAATGACTTCCATCTTCCTGGTTGCTGGTTAAACTCTTTCCCATCCTTTAAAACAACATGCAAAAGCCACCTGCTCCATGAAGTCTTCCCTTGCCTCAATTTGGCAATGACATTCCTTCCCTTTGTCCTCACAAAGCACTTTCTTTTGCACTTTTCCAGTGGCTTATAATGTAAATTTATCTGTTGATGTTTTATAACTTATTAGACCATCAGCTCCATGAGGCCAGGGAAACCTGCTTTGTTTAAACTTTCTCTTTTTCAAGCCTAGCACAGATTATCTATCTATCTATCTATCTATCTATCTACCTATTACCAAACATTTGACCATACTGTATTCATAGTGTTTTACTAGGCTTTTGAGCACACACACACACACACACACACACAGAGGTATGCATATAGATGTAGGTATAGCTAGAGATATATAAGGTGTTTCAAAAGTCTTAGTGCAGTTTTAAGATTTCATAGTTTCCCAGAGGACACAGGCTTGCGGTTGCATATACACACATGCATACACACACACACACACACACACACACACACACACACACACACACATATATGGACTGCAGTCATAGACTTGAGTCTCTCATATGTATATACATATGTGTATATACATCTGGAATTGATGAGAAGAGAAAAGTAAAGAAGAAATGGTTAGGGAACAGATAAACTGTCATCAATTTAGATGTATAGATAGTACTCAGGCTGTTGGAGCTGCCAGAGGTCAAAGAAAAAATCGGTTCTAGTTAGTGGCTCTGAAAGATAGTGGGGACCCAGATTGTTCCTGAAACTGGAGCCTATCGCAAAAGGGCCGCACTCGGGCACTTAGCCCAGGAAGTCACTGGCCAGAGGGGGCCGCTCCCCGTTCCCCATTCCCCGCCTCCCACCTCTTCGAGCATTCAGTATCCAGGGCAGCAGCTGCGCCTTTAAGCTGGCCACCTGACGCTGCCTCTGCCCGGTTTCTGTGCCCACCCCAGAAGGTAAGGCTGTGGGCTGCTGGTGTGGGAAAGGGAGAAAGAGACTTGGTTCTTGGCACGATGCCAGAGTTGTGAGGGAGGGACGCGGTGGGAGGTGGGAGGGGGTGGGAAAGAAAAGACTTGGGTGCGTGGGGATCACTTGTAGGAAACGGCCTCCGGGCAGCAGAGTTGCACCCAAAGGGTGGGGGAGGGGGGCGCGGGGGAATTATACCAAAGTTGGAGGCGAAGCAGCGGCGGTTGGGAGTGCACAGTAGCCACGCGGGTCCTGGGGAAGCGGAGGAAGGGAAAGAAGAAGCGGCTGAGGAGGAAAAAGAAGAAAAGGAGGAGAAGAAAGAGGAAGAGGAAGAAGAGGAGGAGGCTGAATTCTTTTGCACCATGCCCTCCTTCGACGAGGTGCTGCAGAAGGCGGGCGAGTTTGGGCGCTTCCAGAGGCGGGTGTTCCTGCTGATGTGCCTGACGGGCATCACTTTTGCCTTCCTCTTCGTCAGCGTGGTCTTCCTGGGCATCGGCCCGGACCACCACTGGTGCCGGGGTCCCAGCGCCGCGGAGCTGGCTGAGCGCTGCGGTTGGAGCCCCGAGGAGGAATGGAACCGCACGGCTCCCCCCCGGAGCGCTCCGGAGTCGGGAGTCCGCTCCGACGGGCGCTGTGAGCGCTACGAGCTGGAAGCTGCCAACTGGAGCAGCGCGGCGGACGCCGCCGGCGCTGCGGCGGGGGGTCTCAGCTGCAGCGACCCGCTCTCCTCCTTCCCCAACCGCACGGCGCCCTTGGTCCCCTGCCAGGGCAACTGGAAGTACAGCCAGTCCCACACCAGCATTGTCAGCGAGGTAAGTGGGCACAGGACGCTGCCCTGGCGTCAGGGCTAGGCATTATAGTCATGGACCTCCCGCACCCTCTGTGGTCGTTCCCTCGACCGAACAAGTGCAGGGAAGTGCACAGAGCTTGACTTGCGATCGGGAGGACCTGGGTTCAAATGAGCCTCAGACACGTACTAGCTGGGTGGCCTTGGGCTCTCTGAGCCTTAGTTGTCTCCTCTGTAAAATGGGAATAATCATAGCACCTACCTTGGAATCAAATGAGATCACGTAGTTAAAGTGCTCCTCAAGCTTTCCGTCATCAGATCAATGCTAGCTATTATTCTTAAGAGAAATGAGGCCTGGCTCCCTTTCCTCCTGGATTTTTAAGGGAATTGGAGGGAGAAGTGTTCAGTGTACTGAGGGTCTGAAGAGGAAGGGTTGCTGGCTGAAGGTAAGTGGAGTTGAGGGATAGAAGTGAGGTGACTGGACTTGGAGGTGCTCCAAAATTGTTACTAGGTGAAGGAAGGTGATAAGCCTAAAGTACCTGTGAGACTACTCATCTTATTCTTTGTGGTTTTCGCTTTTGGATGTTAGTGAGAAAGATACTTTATTTGCTGCAATAGAGGTGAACCTTGGTGATGAAGTGATGAGACCAACAGCAGTGGTCTTATACCACCCTCAATTCCTACCAAAAATCTGATGAAATCTTACCATTCTCAGTTAATTTAGGTGTTTTAGAGGAAATGCGGCTATGGCCCGTCATTTTGGAAGGAGTGGACACCATTACAAATGCAACCTTCAGTGCAGGTTTATTTGTGGCTTCCATAGTATTTATGTATTTATGTATACTTCAGTGGATCTCCTAGAAGGACACTGCAAGAGTTCTATCTGTCACAATACGTCCATGCCTTGGCAGTTTTTATTACTGTCTTACCATGAGTTCTTTGCAAAGGATCAATTCTAAATGTAGGGGAAGATTTCTTCTAAGACTTTTAACCTGGTTGAGTACCAGTGTTAATCCACCTGTTATACCATAGGGACTTTAGTTACCTGGCCTTACCTCCTTTTCCATCAGACATTTTGGGAAATGTACTTGCTAGAAAGCCTTTAGCTCACCTACTTCACTTCCTTCGCTTTTTACAACAACCCTGCAAGTTCCATAGCATAGGCATTAGAGCATTTTACCTGTGATAAAAATGAGGGTCAAAGAAATTAAGTGATTTGTCCTAAGTCACACAGCTAATAAATGGCAGAATGGGACCTTGAGCCCCGGTGTTCCTCATCTGAGTCCAGCTTGGGTTCCAGTATGCTGCGCTGCCTTTTGTGTATAGTGTATATAGTAAATTATTTTATATAGATATGCATTATATATATATAATCAGATGGATACTACATAGATGATATATTGTCTACTTTGTATGTGTGTATTTATATGCTTGACTTCTTGCATCCAAAATGGAAGAGGATTTAGCATATTACAGTTAATCCTGGGTTGAGAAATTTGCATAATAGCTCACTAGTATGTAGTAGTGCAGGATTTATAAAACGCTTTTCCCACAACTTTGAAAGGTAAGTAGTGTAAGTGTTATTACCTCCTTTTATAGAGAAGGAAACAGACCCAGAGAAATGGAGTCATTTGTTCAAATGCTCTCACCTGATAAAGCCAGGAGGCTTCCCCACAGGTTGCTGGTCCTGTTCTTTCCACTACAGGATACTGCCTGCTAAAAACTTCTGAGAAGTTTTGTAATAGAGAAGCAACAGCTAAAAGCTAGACAGTTTTCATCATTGCTTCCAAGGGAAAGCTGAAATCCTGAACCAGAGTGTTTGATTTCTCTCTTTCTCTTACACATGGAAAATTAATAGGAGGGATCTACTGAATCTGACTTGACTTTATTGCTACTAGTTGACAGGAAGATGCTATTTTTAGGAAAGTAATAATCCTGTTTTGTGGATGGTTTTCCGGAGGATTTGATAGTTTACATTGCCTATAGTAATCTGTGGCAAGGCTAGGACTGCCCTTTCCTGTGCCTTTTGTAACACGGTAGTCCTCATCCTTAGGACAATTACTGATAAGGAGGTCCTCAGAAAAAAGGCATCCTGCTGTTAAAAATCTATAGGCGTTGAAATATCCCCTGATAAAAAGTCACCAGATAGAGTATGAGGTATTTGTTGACACCCATAATTAGGTATAGAAGATGACATTTGTCAGGAGAAGACAAAATAAGAAAGGGTGAACAGATGATCAGAAAGTATTAACTAAGCACCAGTTATGATAACATAGTACATCAAGAGAAAAACATATCATTTCCATCCTTGATTTCTTGTCTCTATAATAATAGCTGATGTTTATATAATGATTTAAAGTTTACTAATCATTTTACACACCTTACTTGTCACAAAGTAGTTTATATTTCCTAATAGAGCCATACTACAACCCTGTAGGTAGGTACTACAAGCATAATTATCCCTATTTTATAGATGAGAAAACTGAGGCTCAGAGAGGTTATCATTGTCCTTAAGCATGAGTATCTAGACTTTCCTAAGCCCAAGTTCAGAAGTCTAAACCATGCTACTGTTCCATATGAAACAGACAAGCTCTAAAGATAATTTCAAATGAAAAGAAAATGTATATGCTGTACAACCTGTGGGTAGTGAAGGTAAAGAATCCATATGAAAAATGTGTAGCGTTTATTAGATTAAGAGTGTTTTAAAGCTTTTATTTATACTGGATTAGACTTGGCTGGTTATTGTGGCCATTTTTGATAATTTGTGTAGCTATATTTTTGTTCAACCTTTGACCTCAGCCAATTCATGTACCAATGATAGAAAGATAGTTTATGAAGACAATTGTAATTCAAATGAATTTTTATTTTCACATGTTCACTTAAAAAGTTTAGTGTCCATATACTCCACATGAGTTTCAAGTAAGAAAATTATTTTCTGAAATTATTGTTTATAGTATTTTGAACTACTAAAGATTTTAGCTATGTGCTTGACATCACTGTTTTCTGTACCTTTCTCAATGTTTTCTTTCTGTTAATGAGGACACTTGTGGTTAATGTAGGTAGATCCAGAGGTACTTTTATTGTTATTATTTTTACTGTTACTTTTGAGGCAAGGCACTTTTGTGTGCTTAGGTGACCACTGAAAGACTCAGGTTTTACATTTAACTTTCACTCAAACTGAAGGAGTTAATTACAACTTAAAAGGAATATACTTGATTAGTTTCCATTAAGTTTGAGTTTATTAAGGGACCTAGGTTCTTAGTTCATTGAGAAAGCAGCAGTGGATTTTCAAGAAATAGTCAAGAGCAGAAGTCTCTGAAATCATCTGTGAATTTATCTTCCAGCCTATTGATTTAAGGCTCTGATTCCTGTTCAAATGTAAATATCTCTAGGAATCTTTGATCTGAGAGTGAAAGGATTGTGGGGAGAAAAGAGGATGAAGGCACTGGGTGCCTGGAGAGGGGGAGGGGCATTGAAGAGGAAAACAAAAAGGAAAGGTCAGAGAGTCTGTGCCAAAGACACAGTTCACCTGTTTTTTTACTGTTTTGTATAGGGCCAGCCCTGATCTTGTTTTTTCAGCGATGAGACCCCTCCTACTCCTACCCCCAAAACCAAACACCTGTGACTCTTCAAAAATAGAGACACTGATTGTCTCTGCTCAACTGATTATCCACCAAGAGACAAACCAAGTTGAGTTGATGAATTGTCATTCCCTGGCAGAATGCACCTCTCCATGTTTATGAAAGAAGGGGAATGGAGAATGCACCATCCCAGCCCCCTTTCCTCTTCTCCCCACTAGTGTAACAGGTGAACACTCAGTAGCCTCGGCTGTGTTTTTCATACACTGAATATCCTCATTTGCAGATATGACTTGGAGCAGGGAAGGAAGCAAAAGGGAAAGGCTGTTTGTTTGGAGCAATCATTTTTATGTACTGACATTCAGAGTACAGAAAAGGCTCTTCTCAGCTGCTCCACAGCTCATGAGTACATCTGTGATGTCAGATTAGGGATCCTCCAAGGGCAGCTGGACATACAGTCTTAGGGGATCAGTGAGAGGCAAGAAGGAAGGCTTGCCTCTCAGAAATTCAGAAGATTACATTACATAATATTATTCAAACTAGAATATAAAAATAAAAATAAAAACATTTAAAAATTAGTTTCAAGATTTCTTCTCTCCCTTCTTTCTTTCTTCCTCTTTTCCCTTTCCCTTTTCCCATATCTGTTCCCTTTCCTACCTACATATTTATTTTGAGGGGATAAGACCACATCTAAAAAGTTTCTGGGGAGACCTTTCAAAAAGAAATATGATTAAGCATTTGTTCATGAGCACTAGGGATAAATACTAACATTTATTGCTTAATGATGTTGTTACTTATCTTGGAGTTGACTATAAGAGAAACTAAACACAGATTTAAAAAAAAAAGTTTTGTTTCTTTTTGTGTGGCCTAATGCGTCCCAGAGGTGCCAGTTGGAGGCTTGAAAAACTGTGAGCAGACAATCTAATCAAAAACCTACATCTAAATAACACAGGTTATTTGAAATCATTGTTACACATTCCAAAAAAAGAAGAACTAACTCTAACGCTTTTACTTTTTGTATACTCTACTTCATATTTTTTTTTAGGATGCCTTGCTTAGATCTCCCATCAAACTACTACCAAAATGATGGTGCTGTTTTTTTTTTAAATGATGTCTTCCATGATTAGCACACAGTAGGTACATAATAAATATTTGATGAATTGAATTAGCCCAGCCTAACTAATTTTTAGAATCCTGTTTTGGAAAATAAAAAGTAGAAAGGGAAAAGCAATGAGAATGGAGGCTATTTTTGGAAAATTCTCTGACCTATACTTTAGTCCTTTTATTGGGGCATGATTAGGCAACAGGGTAATGGAAAGAACACTAGATAGGACTCAGGAGACCTGAGTTCTAGCCTTCCCTCCACCACTAACCAACTGTGTGAGTTTGTGCAAGTAACTTAATCTTTCTATCAGTTTCCCTATCTGTAAAAAAAAAAAAAAAGGAG